CTGGGCGACGGCGGCCACGGCGCCCCGCCCGAGCCGGCGGCCGAGTGGTCCAGCGAGGCGCACCCCGAGCAGCGACGCCATGCGGCCCCGGCCTCTCCGAGTGGGAGGCACAGCAGCGGCAGCCCGACGGACCTGCTAGCGGCCACGCCCCCCACCTCGCTCCGCAGCGCGCTCGCGGGCCGGGCGCTCCGCTCACGCAAGACTACGTGTGGCGTTCTCAGCGTTGAGGAAGCTATCGCCGAAGGGATTCTCCGTGCAGAGCAGTGGTGGCGCTCTCAGCGTTGAGGGGCAGGATGGGTTGAGAAAGTTATCGCCGCCGGGATGCACCATGCAGAGCACGAGTGAAGTCTCGCGTTGAGAAGCCGCAGAGCACGTGGTGGCGTCTCAGAGTAGAGGACCAGGTTGGGGGTTGAGAAGGCAATCCGCTATTCGGACCCTCCGCAGACGCAAGATATGGCGTGCTCAAACGGAACAGATTCAACGGAGGAGGTTGAGTTGAATTTTGCCTAGCGCCACGGACTTCCCCCATGCAGAACACGTGTGGTGTTCAGAAGTTGAGGGGCAGGTTGGGTTTGAAAGAAGCTATCGCGCCGCCGGTCTCCTTCCGCAGACGCCCATGTGGCCCGGGTGCTCAACGGCGCTTCGACAACGGCAACCTCAGCGAGGGGAGGTTGAGTTGGATGCTAGCGCCCCGGACTCCCAAGCAGAGGCACGTGTGGCGTCTCAGCGGTTGAAGGGAGCAGGTTTTGGGTTTGAGAAGCAATCGCTAATCGGGACTCCTCGCCGCAGAACGACCATGTGCGTGCTCAACGGAACACATTCCCCAACGGGGATCCACGTGGCCCCTCACGAGCAGGTTTGAGTTGAGAGCTATCGCCACGCGGAAAACTTCTCGCGCAGGCCTCCCACTGCCAGATTGCTTCTTCAAACGACGTCCTGGGTCTCGTCGACTTGCGTTTTCACCCACCGAGAAAGCTCGTCAGTGAATGGCTGGCTCGCGGCGCGGCTAATGAAAGGAGCTCTTCCATTTCACAAAGACATTTTCGCAAGACCCGACAGATGAAACGTTAGTGCTAGTCTTGTTATATATTTTTATCACTGCCAGAGTACGTCGAAGAACGTCGCCCAACCTTCAAGGGTGTATTGATGGTTCTCTTTTATATTGCGAGTTTTTCTTCAGATGGACAAAACACTGGTATGTCGTAGAAGAGATAAAATATTCGTAAGAAAAACGGACTCTTTGAAATAGTAATGAGCAATACGTTTTGTAAGTGTAATTGAAATTAGAAGAACAAAGGACGTTTTTTCGGGCTAAAACGCGTAATCTTTTGGATAACATGCTGGACGCGGTAGCTTTCGTCAATGCATTAGAGAAGCAGTCAAAGTCAGCAGCTAAAATAGACTATATACTGAAATTAAGTTTATCTCTGGAATTTAGGCTGGAGGCTATGGCTGTTTTTTTAATTGTATGAATATTTCACCCCAAAATGCTAATTTCATTTAACCAATGTCAAATAAATGACAAAGAAAATGTTAGTAAATGCATTCCAGACAAATTGCATAAATACGTAATTAAATTTATCAACGACACTGAAGCAGCTGATTGAGATGTGCACTGAATCATGGTGAAAATGTAGTTTTAGTAGTTTAATGCTGCAGAATGTCACAGACTTTCACGAACTAGTTCGTTTCCTAAGCTTTTCGATTTTCCTAGACCTATTCCTAGCAGCTACCACCAGACTACGGCCTAAATTAGTTATTTTTACGTTTTCTTAATTTTTCGTCCCCCTAACAGTTAAGTTGAAATATGACTTTACGAAATATCAAAGAAGAGTGAAATCTGTTTTATATGCCAATTTTCACTGAAGCATTCATAGCAGTTTTGAAAAAAACTATCGTTTGAGCGTTTCTGAAAATACAAAACTTGAAACAGTTTTCGAGAACTTTCATCAAAAATACTTTGAAACACTCTTACTCACTGTTGTAATAACGAGTTAAAAATGCCCGTATTCTAAGAATTACCGATGTAAGTGATGTATAAAAACATTACATTTGTATAATTTTCGGGGAATCATAAGAATACATCAATATGGCATTTACGTCAAGTTATTCAATGAATTAAGCAATAAGAGTACAGAAAGTTGAAAGAAAAAAATGGAGCAGTTAATAGCTTATTACGAAGAACAAATTTCTTTTCAAGAAAAAATCTCTATTTTCAATTTTGTAGTTGTAGGAAAATGCCGAAAAAACTTCAGAAATTTGCTATTTTCTGAAATTTTGAGTTAACAGTGACAATCGGACCTACGCAGTCTTTGTAAGTGCATTTTACTCTATTCTTACAAGCAATTTTTTTTAAAAAAGAATTTGGAGACACTTCTGAGAAAACTTTGAATATATCTCATGGGCTTCATGTAAAGTGCCCCTAAAATTCGAAGAATTCGTTTGAAACTTGCAGGGTTTCAAATCAGTCCCGAAATATTGGGGAATAGTCACTTTGAGGAAAATCCCAAGAAACAGTTTACGCGATACTGTTCTTAATTCACAACGGACGGACGTTTTGAAAACTAGGGATATTACAATAGCACATATTTTATCGAAAAATTTCAGAATATTACTATTTCTGTCCTCCTACGAACACTTCAGCTATTAATGGAAAAGTTCAAACTGTATTTAAATAGAAGCATGGGCCGTAACAATGTTGTAAGCAACAACTTTTAAAAAACCGAGAATTTTGTAAAACAATATTTTATCATTAGAAAATATATAATTGTCAAATGGGCACTGCTTACGTGAGAAAAGTTTTCGGAAATTGGCTACCGTGTAACAACTTTGTATGCAAGTAAAAAATTAAGGGCTCTAGTTGGGTTGCGTTCTCTACTTCGTGCAAAAAGGGTAGAGACAATGCAAAAGTACTCGTACATTGTACGTGCGCGATGTACGTACACGTACAAAGCACAAGCTGTTTACGGAAGTGCACCCTGATTTCAGTTTCACAGCGAACTATGGATATATTTTCTAGTCAGTATAAAAAACAATTTGGTGTACCACGATCCGACGCTTGTGCAACTTGCGATAAAATTAACATTAATTTGTGATCATGCGGCGAAAATTAGATGTTGCTGAATGAAAGCGCATTGCATCATGCCACGGCAGATTCCACGTATGCCAGCTTGCAGGCTGATACGGACGTTCCTAAAGTTAATTCGCAAGTTCAATGTCATCTTTTCTGGATTTACAAGCCGTTTTCTTCAAACTTAAAACCTGTATTTTATCAAAGACAGTAAGCAAGCTACAACTACTGTGTTCATGATACTGCTTCCAACAATGCTAATATGTTTCTGTGGTACGAGAGGACCCACTAAAATACCTTCATATTTTTTTCAAGTAATATATTAACGGTAACTTTCAACCATTAAAATCAGGAGGAGATCGAACATTTTTTATTTGGTCAGAGATTTCTTGAGTAAAATAACTACCGAATGTTTTTTATCCTTCAGTTGCCTATTCTTGGCGACCACATTTTTCTTTCATTCCTTTCTTTGATAGAAAAAAACTACACAATTATAAATGTATCATTTGACTGGATTGAAGTAGTAGTTCATTCACGACCTATAATCCCTTTAGTGTTACCCTTATGGAAAAAGGATTTCAATATAAACTTAATTTTCAATTAAAACTCTCTATACTTATGGAATAATGTATGTAGGTGACACATTGACGTATGTAAAAATTAGCACCATTTGTGCCTGTTGAATGTACCATTTTATTAGAGACATTGTAAAATTAAAGCTAAATAAATGAGGTATCTTTATTGTTGCATCCATCTCATGATTGATTGATTGATTGATAGTGACTCCGGGCATGTCAACTAAGACGGTCATTAGTTCCGTAAGTGCAGTGCTGAGGTGGCGGGGGTTTCCACCGCTGTATGGCGATATCCGGAGTCGACCTAACGTCGGTTAGCGAGGTTTTCCCCCAACCAGGTATCTCCCACCAGCGGGGCACCGCCCCAGCCGAGACAAGCTCTAAGCTCAGTCCGGTCCGACCGCTCTCCCGGCATGTGTGGTATTTGTTGCGCGTATTGGAGTCTAAGGGGAAGGAAAGATTGCGCGCGCTCCATGGCTTATTTGTTAGGATACTGCTCCGACATTCCCCTGGTATTGATCGGAGAAACCACTGAAAACTACCGATCAGAATAGCCGGCCGCTACAATTCTCCTCCACAAGGCGACTGAATTTGACCTAGCTGACAAGCTAGTGTTGAAAATCCTGACACCGTCGGGACTCGAACGTAGGACCTCCCCGTCAGAGGGACTGCAGTGACATCAGTTGATATCCTCAACCATCTCTCCCAGTGCATCCATCTCAACCAACCATGAATGAGAAGAATTCTCCGAATTTTACACTAACGTATCGCGTTCCATTATTTGGCAAACTAAGCGCGGGAACACATTTTTGAAAAATTTAACATATTATATGAAGGCCTATTTTTGATGAATAGATTTCATTAGGAACGAAATTTCTATCTTCATTATTGTGGTTGTAGGAAGACGCCCAACAAATTATGACCTTTTGCAATTTTCCAGAATTTAGGGAGATCAAAGAAAATACGACTCATGCAATATCTTTAAGTTTAAGCAATTTTGGAGAAATTCGTCTGAACGGTTTAGGGGTTGACCATAGACGAACGGAAAGACGATATGCCGTCAATCGATTTTTCGTTATCAAGGATCCACGAGACATGGATTCTGGCTATAATAAACTGTTAAATAAAGTAATTTACTACGTATATTAACAAGATTTATCTACTTTTTCGTCAACAGGGCCTGGCAATAAGAGCTTTTTGTCGAAAAATCGCCGTTTTCCGAAGGCGAGAAAGTAAACAGATGTGTACAAATATTCTCGAACTAGTTCTCAATTACCTCGAGCCTCGGTTTTCGGTGTTGCCGCCCCCCCCTCCCATCAATGCCTAAACGACATCGCATGGCCTCTCTCGGTATCTACCGCTCCTCATATTCAGTGAAGAGCACTATCGCGTTTCCCGAACATCGCGTTGGCGTATCTCACCCCCCTCATCTTTACACATTTGTCCAAGGTATTTCTAGGCCCTATCGAGATGTTCGTACCATAGTTTGGGTGTAGGGATTTTGTTCAATTACATAGTTGCCGGCCAGGCCGAGAGATTACGAAAGGATTCGAGTTCGAAGATATAATACAGGAAGGAATCGGAATGTTCCCCAAGCCACAATGAATCGAAAACGTTCATGCAATACGCAGATTTCGAACCCTCAACCTTGGGGTCCACGTACCTTGGTTCCTGCCCCAAGACCCTACCACAAGGCCTATTCACTTGACCGTACCATTTGTAAATGTGTTACGGAAATGTAATTTGATATTACTAATACTGACCTTTCTGATTTTTATGTGACCTTAAATTAAATATTAATTATTTCAATGTATCTCACTCCATTCGTTTCCATAACTACAATGCAAAGTTCCTGTTGAGTAATGAAACCTATCAACACATCAGTCAGAAGTGAACATTAACAAACACTACCAAAATATCTTGTAGAAGTAAATTTGCAATGTATTTCAGTTGCAATATATTCGTTTATTTCATGTACTATTTTAAAGAGAAAATTGATTGATAAAAATCACATAATTCTTACTTTTTTGTATATGTATGTATTATCAGAGTAATATACCTATCCGACTGTGACTAAATTATATGTAGGAATTTTCTCCAAAATGAGTACTTTCCGATCGATCTAGTCTGACTCAAAACCATGCGAATTTGAAATGAATTCTTTGAATTTTCAAAATTTCATCATATATGGTTCCAAATAAGTTATTTTTGCAGATGATATGAATATTTTGTTTGTATTGTACAAGAAATAAGTAAATTCCACCCACATGATTTTGTCAGCCTTTTTTATTAAGTCAGGACTTACTTGCCTTGAATTCTAATTTAAGAATTAGGAGTTTGTCAAAAATGACGTACTCAAGGGTGGAAAGTGAATACAGAAACTATAACATTCTACACAACACTCAAGTAATCATATTCATCTAGTGTCAGTTTCAACAGCTAACTACACAAAATTCCCATACATGTTTTGTACATTATTTTACAACAAAATGTCAGATGACAACCAATTAAAATCGACACACAAGAATAAATGACAAATGAATCTTTTTGGCTGCATAACAGTACAATTGGAGACTATACCAAACATCAAAAGGAAAACAACATTGATTTTAACAATAATATTTAATGTATTAGTTACCATTTGGACTTATAATTTTAAAGGACAAAATATGCCTATAACGAAATATATCTGACCCCTATCATAACCAGCTTTTTCAGCCAGTTTCTCTGATCATTTATGTGAAATGCTGAGATGGCTCCTAGTTTCTCTCCTAGCTTCTGGAGATAAATGTAACTTCACTATATGCACATGTTTTCTAGTTTGGTGGGGAACGTAGTTATTCATATCGTTCTTTATGTTCTAGCGGCCATAAGTCGAAGAGCACAATGAGGGATAGTAACCAAAATCTGTAGCTAATTTGCCTTTGCAAATAATTTTTACTGTATGAGGGCAAATATTCTTTTATCAATACTTGGGGGAAAAACACACACACCAACTATAGTTTCCACCTGCATTCAAATTGTACAGTGTCCCAGAAATGAAGAAAACGTGTAAAGAATACACTTGTCATAGGACATCACACAGTTTTTAAACTTGTTTTCACGATAAACAGAGGCATAGGGCAGCTGCTCCACGAGGACCCTTCAATTCAAACAAACAAAATCCCTCCTCCTCTAATTTATACACAGAATTCATTTATCCATGCATAAAAAAACAAAAACTTATAGCTTTAAATTTAGGTTACACTTCTAATTTCTTTTGATTGAAACACACACACACACACACACCACTGTTTAAGTGGTAACATACTAGAGCAAGCTCAATAGCAGAATGATGTGTTTACCTATTACAGGAATATTTTCCGGGTCAAACAACTTTATTAACAACAAAACTCCTTCATTTAATCCTTCTTATAAATAACAAATCAGTGTCAAGGACCCTCGAAACATTGGATTCTGGGCTACACCGCTATTAGATTATTTTTTCTTTGTTTTGTTGTTGTTGTTCTCTGTGTTTTTCTTAAATTAAGCTACTGGATATATCCACTCTTAGCCAAGCCCAGCAATAAAGAGTTTTTCCAGCCCAAAAAATTTTGCCTTTTTCCCTATCATCTCCAGATTAGATAACTTCTTCTAACATGTCTTGCTGAAGACAGTAACTCTTTACCTTACAATGGAGACAGGAAAGTTAATCAATGTCTATCTTATAGAATGCAAAAGTGTTTCGACTCTATAACAGTAACTTTAAATTTTTCTTACTGTCCAAATACTCAAGAAATTTTTGAACATAATTTCAAGCAACTACATGTGCTTCCATCTTGTCAACAGGTTTTTTCCCAGATGGTGAATTCACAGGTAATCCTAGATGTTGAACAACATTGGTTCTACTTACACCGTACTTATGGAGAGACATTGCGGATGACCTAATACCAACTCCACCAATGCTGTACTTTTTCACCATTTAAACTCTTCACTAATATCTAGATATTGTCTAAGTTAATCAAAATATCTCTTTGAATATTTAGCTGACGCAACCTCCTAAAAATTACGCTAGTATTAGAGATAAGAAGAGTACTTTACTTTCATTGTTTTTCAGGGTTACTTGAAGGGTGAAAAAATGTTACAGTGAGAAAAACTCATAACTGTTATGGAATATTATGAGCAAAACAAAAACAAAATTTTTAAAATTGTTGTTCTCCACTCATTGGCACCTGCTTGCAGGACACTACTATCAACTATACTTTGACCTATATTAGTCAAAGAACAGTAAAATCTTGAAAGTTGCATATAAGAAGAGAAGTACCAAATCTTGCTACAGAATCTCTTCCTAACATTTATTAATTATAATAGTAAATTTGCTAAAAAAAGTGTTTTAACCTTTTGAAAACAGAACGATTTTTCTCTCGTGAGTTTTAGAAAACGACAATTTGCATCGGTAAACCAAAATGCAGATTTGCTAACAAAATAAGACACACACTACACATCTCTCTTATCGCTATACAGCCATCCCTGAGCGTGCGTACCACTGACTAATCTACCAACGCACAACACTGTGCTACAAACGACGATGCGCACGCCGTCTGTCGACAAACATCACACATTTAAATGCTCGTGCTAACACCCGCACCATGGCAGAAACAAGAGGGCCAACATCCGTATCAGATTTTCACGGTTAACTGAATCTTTCAAAAAATTTTCAAGTTTTGAATTATTTCAGGCATCTCCACAAATTTACAAAATTACAACACAATAACTGAACTAATGTAATTCACAATCCATATTCTCTCTTTT